GACCGGGCCAAGGGCTACTGCATAAGCGATCTCCTGCTTGATCTGGGCAAAGGCCTGTTGCTGCTCAGGGCCCCAGTGGAAATTGTTCTTCTTGTGGGTGACCAGGTAAAGAGGGATCACGATCTGACTGTACTCAGGAATGTGCATTCTCCAAAAGCCTTTGGCACCTAGGAAAGCTTGTGTCTCCTTATTGGCTGGTGGAAACATACCTGTGATCTTGTTGATGACATCTGTAGGAATCGGACACTGTCCATCTTGCCACTTTGCTCCTAGGAACCGAATCTCACGAGCTGGTCACTTTACTTTGCTCTTTTTAATGGTGAAACCAGCTCCCAGGAGGATTTGGATGATTTTCTTTCCTTTCTCAAACACTTCCATGGCTGTGTTCCCCCACACAATCATGTCATCAATATACTGTAGGTGCTCTGGAGCCTCACCCTTTTCTAGTGCAGTCTGGATCAGTCCATGGCAGATGATAGGACTGTGCTTCGACCCCTGGGGCAGTCGGTTCCAGGTATACTGCACTCCCCTCCACCTGAAAGCAAACCGAGGCCTGCATTCTGCTGCCAGAGGAATGGAGAAAAATGCATTGGCAATATCAGTAGTGATGTACCACTTCGCTGCCTTGGACTCAAGCTTGTACTGGAGCTCTAATATGTCTGGCACGGCAGCACTCAGTGGTGGAGTCACTTCATTAAATGCATGGTAGTGAATCTCTACAGTCCATCTCCACTCTCCTTCAGATTTACGCACAGGCCAAATGGTGCTGTTGAAGGATGAGTAAGTCTTGCTGACCACCGCTTGGCTCTCTACCTCTTGGATTATCTTATGGATGGGAATCACAGCATCTAGATGGGTGTTCTATACTGTGGACGATGCACTGTGGAAGTGGCAATTGGTACCTGCTGCGCTTCTCCCTTCAGAAGTCCTACTGTAGATGGATTCTCGGACAGTCCAGGCAAGGAGTTCAATTGCTGGATGCCCTCTGTCACTACAGCAGCTATTCCAAATGCCCATCTGAGTCCCTTTGGGTCTTTAAAATATCCACTTCAGAGGAAGTCTATGCCCAAAAATGCATGGGGCCTCTGGGCCAGTCACAATATGATGTTTCTTCCACTCATTTCCAGTCAGGCTCACATCAGCTTCCACCAAAGTCAAATCCTGTGATCCCCCTGTCAGACCAGCAATAGAAACAGATTCCGTCCCCAGGTGTCTCGATGGGATTAATGTGCATTGCACACCAGTGTCAACCAAAGCTTTGTATTCTTGTGGTTCAGATGTGCCAGGCCAATGAATCCACATGTCCAGAAAACACAATTTTCCCTGGCCTCTACCTGGCCAGAGGCAGGGCCCCTCTAAGCCTGGTTATCCTTCTTTCCTTGGACTTATGTCTTGGAGGTTCCTTGGGGATCGGACATGTCATCATCATCATCATCATCATCATACCTGGCAGTTTGGCTATGGGCAACTCGAGCTGCTTTCCTTTTGATGCAACTTCCTCTCTGAGCCCTGTCTTCCTTCAAATCACGCACCTGTTGTGCCAGAGCAGCAGTATATTTTCCATCCCATCTCCTCATGTTTTCTCCACAATCACGCAGGTAGAACCACAGCTCAGCTCGTGGGGTGTATCTTCTCTCTCCATCTGGGGAACGTCTGCCTTGGATACCAGAATCTCTGATCTGTATTGCCGAGATTTGGAAAAGGTGATTCTCCTCTATCTTGTCCTCTAATTTCTGCAGACATGTTCCCACTGCTGTGATTCTCCATGTGTTGGGCCATGCACAGCATCTGCATATGCTTAGAGTTTCTTTGCCATATCAAGCACAGTCTCATCCCTCTCATCCCACTCCATTATGGCCAAAGCAGAAGCATATTCATGTGGCCCAAGTTGTATGAGTTTTTGCCACATCACAGATGTGCATGGTACCAAGTCTGGATTCCTAGCAGTTGCGTTATCTGAGAAGATAATCTCTGCCACTGCCATTTCTCTCAGGCATTGGATCCCTTGCTCTATGGTCTTCCACTGTGTTTGATGCATATAAAGATCATCTGCACACAGGGGTCTTGGTGCAACACTTTCCAAGACCCGTATCCAGAGGCTATGTGAATTAGCTACTAGAGTTATTTCTGGATAAGAAAATAAACCTAGGGACCATAGAGATATTAAGATCTCAAAAAAAAAAACCTAGGGACCAGAAATGCATACAAACCTTCACCCCAAAAGACACTATGAATTCAAAAAACATGGCTATTAACTGCTTTATACGAACACAGAGTAATGGCAACCAACAGGGTTTTTTCCACTCTCTTTCGAGCCCCATGTGTTGACTGCCAAATTTTGTCCTGGTCTAGGGCAAATTTGGGAGAAAACCTCCAAAAGGGGGGCCCTCCAGAAAGCAAACCCACATGGCTGCTCCTCCCAACCAGTTCGGGAAGGATTCCTCAGAGAGAAGTGGAAAGAACCTGTTTATTTAATAGGCACAGCAACCCCCAGCACACAAAATGAACAGTACCAGATTACACCACCCTTTCACCACTCTGAAAACAGATGACAAATTCAGAAAGTCTCTCTTGGGGGGTGGTCACTCTGTTATCAGTCCCTCTGGCGTGTTTCCCAGGTCCCAGTCCGGAGCAGGTTCAAGTAGGTCCAAAAAAAGGGAAAGGAGAAACAGTCCAGTGTTGTATTGCACTAAATACTTTATTTAGTTGTTGTTTTGCACTGGGTGATTGGAAATTTGTAATGAGTATGTTATGTCACATAGATTGTTATTTCTCTTCTCCATCACATGGTCTTTCCCTCATGTACCCCTCTGCTGTATCCCCTGGTGGTCTTTCCCTTGGTTACCCCTCCCCTCGCCCCTCCTCAATGGTATCCCATTGGCTGCGGTTCTATTCCCCTGCCCCCTCGGGTATAAATATCCACATGCTTTTTTTCACCTGGAAGGTAGCTAGAACCTGAAGTGTCTCCTCCCAAGCCAATAAACAGGACATCCGTCCCCATGGGGAGAAGAGTGCTTCTCATCTTTTACTTTGTCCATGTAAGACCATGTGGGCTAGAGTCTGAGCTAGCCAGAGTGGATTCATACAACAGCCCGAGATACATGGATTCTTACAGTCCAGGGAAAAATTTGGACTGCTTAGCTAAACTATCTAATGAGCAGAAACAAAAAGCAAGAGCAAAGCAGAAGCAAAGCAGAAGCAAAAGCAAGAGCAAAGAAAAAAAGCCAAGCAAAAAGCAAAAACGGCCCTATGTCCTGCTCCGTCTGTGTGTCCTGCCATCTGTGGGGGGGGCGGCTGATAGCAAAACCCAAACAAAACATTCACTCTTCAGAGCCAGACTTGAAGGCACAGAACATAATATCCAGCATAAACAGAACACACGAATGGGGATACAAGCATCATAACGTCACCTTAGGACAGATGTCTTTTCTTTCTTCTCCTTTCTTCCTTCTCCCAGTTTCTGCTTAATATATTTTAGCAGAATGTAATTATCCTGGGTTTTAAAATGTCCTCACATAGCAGTTGCCCCTGCCCTGTACAGTAGCCCCTTTGCCTTGCTGAGGAAGGGTGCCTCGAATCCCAGTCAGCCTCATCCATCCAATTTCTTTATGGGGTCTTTGTGAATTATTAAAAGTCTGCTCTGACACCTGGACAGAAGATAATTCAATCTCAGCCCTTTCTGTTGCTGTTAAATAACCTTCCTGTCCTGGAAAATGTAGTGGCTGTGTGCCACTATATAATAATAGTGAGGAGAGAAATCTGGATGCATGAAGTAAGTTATGTACATTATATAGGGAGAGAAAGATTTGTGGGCCTATTCTGGCTGCACACCTTGGCCTGGGAGAGTGATAGGCAAAGCAGGGCCCATCTCCCCTCTGCCACAGGGCTTTCCCGCCAGTATAGTACAATTTCTTTGGGAACCATGTTGAAGGGACTGGATGTGTCCTTGACTGGGTTTGGGGCACACGTTTACTTGCTTTGTAATTCTTTCTGCCCCCAAGTCATGCGTGGATATCCACAGGAGATCAAGAACAGGAACTTGAGATGTGCTTCTTTTATCTGTGCTACTCCCCTTCTGACAGCCGACATGCTAAGCTGTGCTACTATCCACAGCACAGAGCAGGGAGGAACAAACAGCTTTTGGGCATGGGAAGCAAGTTTTGCATAAGCATGACAATAGGGTCTGTGCTCCAGTTGCCTGAGCTGCTATTTCTCATTGAGCTCAATAGGTGTCTTCAGATAATTGCCAAGAGAGGATTTACTTCACCTAATGCACAGGGAATATTAGCAGGGCTGCATTCATTTAGCTGCCTAAGATAGACATGAAGACCAGAAAATCTCAAGTTTGGATTTGTCACTATCCTAGGGTGACATTACGATGCTTGTATCCCCAGTAGTCTGTTTTGTTTATGACAAGAAGGAGCACAGAGTTACATTATCAGCTGCGCTCTCCCTCAGTCTGCTGGAACACAGAACTCCACTGTTGTTGTCTGGGCATGGACAGGGCAGAACACCACGCTCCTTTTGCTTTTTAGTTAGTTCAGCTAGCTGAGGCAGTCTGAGTTTTCCCTGGACTGCTTTTCTTTCCCTTTTTCTTGGAACCATTTGAACGTGCTCTGGAGTGGGGCCTGGGGAGCACCGAGAGCTTGCACTCTGTGGCCTACAGGGGCCTACTCTGGGCAGCAGCCTTTGCCAGTGCCGGAGGGATTGAAAACAGAGCGAGCATCCACATGAGAGACTTTCTGAATTTGTCGTCTCTACAGAGCGGTGAATGAGTTTTGTCATCTGGTATTGTTAATTTCTTGTGCTGAGGAGTGCCTTGCCTGTTAAATAAAGAGGTTCTTTCCCCTTCCCTCTGAGGAAGTTTTTCTGAACCAGTTGAGGGGAGGGGCTATGTGGGTTGGCTTTCTAGGAGGCCCCTTTTGGCGGTTTTCTCCCAAATTTGCCCTAAACCAGGACAGTTACAGAACAAAATTCTGAAATCAATGTTACTTCAATGCAACAAGTTTTAATTAACAGGATTTTATTGGAGTTCAGCCCATGCTACATGAAAGCTTCAGTTGGTGGAACTGAGATTATTTCTAGCTGTGGTTTTGATGAGCACTGACTAGTGTGCCCAGTACCATGAGTTTGGAATTAGTCCATGGACAAAACTGGGCATCAGCCAAGTTTAGTTCTCACAAGCTGGGAATCATGCAGAGACAGAAGGAGAAGGGGTCCAAAACTCACATTGTGCATCTTCCCCAATGTTTTCCTCGCCTCTACTTATTTAAAACAGTCTTAAAAAATCTCTCAGAGGTTTTTACAGCTTCTTCAGACCATCTCTCTCTCCTAGTAACTATTCCTACAACTAGAATGTTTTTCCTAATATATAACCTAATTCTCTCAAGCCTCAATTAAGTCTATTATTCTTGTCCTACTTATACGGATAAATTGCACCTTCTTTGAAAATATGTTTCTTACAGAAAACTTAATTTCTGTGTTCTCTTTGGTCTCCTAATGTTCACACTGAATACCACATAATCTGTGAGGACGGGACAGGTTCTTCCAATTCTCTCTGCTTGATTCTCTCTGCTTGGCTGCTGTCCAGCTGCACCACATTTCCCTTGAAGAGGAAGCAAATTGCTCAACATTTGACACACTGGTCTATCTGAGGCCTTACTAGTGCTGAGTGCAGCTGAATGATTGCTTCATACACTTTATAAGTTACAGTTCTGTGTAAACACTGTGTTGACATTCAACATTTTCACAACAGCCAGATTCTGTTGACTCATGCTCAGGTTGTGATTCACTACCTGCAGGGCTCCTGTGAGACCTTGGAACCCCACCCTTCACCCAGCACTTTGCAGGTCAAGTCCCTGTTTGTAAGTCACTGTTCAAGGCTGGCACACTGCTCACTTCTGCTCCTCTTTTCTCATTTTTAGAAATATTGGCAGGGTGAAGCCAGTTCTTGTTTTTATTTCCGGAAGTTCTCAGTACACAACAATTTTCTCTCTGCTGAAGGCACATGGGTTCCATCTTCACTAACCCCTCACCAATAAGAGGTTTCCTGGATCTGTTTTAATTCACATCCAGTTAGCTCAAGGGAAAACAGCTTATGATCTGCATAAGATGTGCTTATCCTCCCATCTGGTCTCATTTACACAGTGAACATCCTGCCCTGGTCATAGCAGCCCTCTTGTCTCTTGAGGTCCTGAAAACATCCTGAGGTCTTAGGCCAGGGAGCTGTGCAGTTCTCCAGGGTGTCCAGGTTTCTGGGAAAGCTGGGGGTACCCCCCAGCCCAGGGTGTCACCTTGTGGGTGGGGACACAGGTGTGGATCCAGAGGCAGGTAGTCGTCTCGTGAGAATTCAAGCTCTATATGGAAAAAAAATAGCATAAGAAAAAAATTGTCTCCCCCCAGATATTCAAGCATGCAAAACCCCCAAACTCACAAACAATCCCCCCCGCAAACAGTCTTTAATGAAGTTTTATCCAACATAAACAAAAAATGGTAAAACTTTCTTTCCTTTAAAAATTGTATTTGGCACAGTCCTATCAAAAGGCTATCAAGCAAAATTAATACATTCTTGTTTTTTGGTGTATTTGCAGTTTTGCACTTTTTAAAATAAAAATGTTCTAATAAGTCATAAATTTACATTTCTTCAGTTACTCCGCCTGGCTCCTTTAATAAAATGACTGCAATACAATACACACAGCAGTGTGACTCTGTAAAACCTCAGAGCTCCAAATATTAATCAAGAAGCTTTCATAGAAATTAATAAATGGAAGCAAAAAAAATTTAATAAGGGATGAAAATTCACGAGCTGCTAAAAGACCAGCAAAGATTTCCTAATAAGGCATTTAAAATAAATCCAATACTTTTCAATGGCATTATGAAACTGAAATCACATAACTGACTGGAGGCTTGGGGTGTGCTTCAGTTCAGGGTTGGTTTTAGAGCACTCTTGTCTTGTTTGCTGGAGTGGTAATTCTGAGTAATCGTGCACACCTCTGGAAAGCTTGAGATCATAAAAGGAAGGGGTAGCCATGAAAGTACAAACATCTGTGGGATAAACCTGAGCATGCAGCTGCAACTGAGACAATTCAGGAGAAGAAAAATGGAAATATTGTATAAGCAAGGATGGAAGATAAAATGGAATAAGTCTCATTTTTTAGTACCAATCACTGTGTTTCCATCAATCTTACTGAAGGATAATTGACAGAATTACTTCTGCTCGCCATAGCTTTTGGTCTGCCTTTGCTTCTTGCAGTCATGAACAGTTGCTGACAGGATGCTAATAAACACTTTTCTTGAATGATTGCAGCACATCTATTATTCCACTAGCCTGGCTCATGAGTGGACCCACTAAATGCTACCACAATACAAATAAATCATTGAATAATCATGAAAAAATAACAGAGCAGGTTGTAGTGATCCTCTATTTATGGCAATAGAGATATTATTAATTTACTTTGTACATAAAATCAGAGTTCAGTCGTATTTTCACCTTTGGTTTGGATTAGCCCACATGATGGCAATCTCTTTCATTAACACACAGTGTTAATTCCTTCAAACACTGCAAATTTAAGGTGTTTCATCTGCACAAGACCAAAAATAAGACAAGAATATCATCTTGGATTTCAGCGAGTACATGAAACAGCCAGGAATTTTCCTGACAAAAGTACAAATAGCCTGTAACACCACAGAGTGAACCCCTCATGGAGGCTTTAGCACAATGCTCTGGCACAGCCTGCAGAGCAGAGAAAACCCTCAATGAAACCCACATTGCATCTGCAGAAGCTGTGCCCCTGCTGCACCCATTCTGTGTGCTCTGTTTAACCAAAACCACTCCAAATTTCCAGCTGGATAATGGATGTAAAGCTGAAAATGCCACAGGACAGGTGTTTTGCTACCTCCTGCCTTCAGGTACGAGCTGGTGAAAGAGGTGAGGAAGGAAAAAAAGCCAACTACACAGTAGTCAGATAAGTCAAAAGAACTGAAACTCAGCTTTATTTTTTTTTTTTTTTTAAAGTACTCTACAATAACGGCTCAGAATACTACCACAAAGTAAAGGGACAAGGCAGTGCTCTGGGCTATGACTGTAGATTACTCTTTTATATATATATATATATATATATATATATATATATTTTTTTTTTTTTTTTAAGCTTAAGAAAGGTTGAAGCAGAGCACTTCAACATTTCTTAAGCATGTATTTCATAATTTTAACACCTTTTAGATCTCTCATATTACAGCAGGATTTATCAAATGCAATGTAGTCACAGAAGTCTTGCATAAATACAAATATTGATACTTTGAATATTGTCTATGATATAAATTCTGCCTTACCTTTAAAAAAAATCTCCAGATCGTTATGTGACCTGGGAGTCTTTCCTTTTCTCTCTCTTTAAGAGTTTTTAAATATACATATATATATTTTTTATATATTTGCTATTGTACATCAAAGTATATATGAATCCCATAATTTCTGTCATATTTTCTGCAGACATGGTCTGAAGCAAAATCACCAACAACTAAATCAAAAACTTCCTGGTTATCATAGGAAAGCCAAAGAGGATCTTTCCTCTTTTTTTGTGTCTGTTTCAGTACTGATATTTTTTAAACTTGAAAGGATTCTTCATAAACTAGAGGTCCATAGATCATTTAAAGTAGTCTTTATAAGCAAATTTACATATTTTGACATGCTTTTGTGAGGCAGTTAGTATCAAAATCCAATAGCCTTTCTTACAGAGCCATATGACTTTCTGTGATGCAGATATACGTTTCACTTCTAAAAAGCCACAGTTATTTTTCTACATCTGCTCTCATCAAATCCCCAGGATTCACTCATAAAACTGCTGCTGTTCGGAATGCTGATGCTGTTATCACCACATACACCCAACCTGGTGACATCGTTGCGTGGAAGATTGGTAAGTAGGAAAATACCCTCCCCAAATCCACAGAGTCTTTTCTATCTCTGAATCCTCATGATTCATGTCACCCAAAAGTACAATGTGATGAGGACACGACTCAGTGCAGGCTAATGGTCTTCTTCCATCAAAGGAATCTCTAGGAGAAACAAAGAAATGGCATTGACTGCTGATTGCAATTTCCCTTTTTGCTTTTGCAAAGTACAATTGTTATCAATTCTACAAAACCAGAAATGGACATTGTAAATATCTGAACAAAACATGGGACATGGGATGTTGCCAATTCTAGACCCATTCGGACTCTAACACCTCTATGAAAATTAGATAACTAAAACTACACAGATTTTCTCCAATAAGTTAGGACCACAAAAACCTAAATGCAAACATCCTTGCTACTACATTAATCACTGAAGCAGCATTCAGAGGTGGAAGGGACTTTACCTGGCAGCCCTGTAATTTCTTCCTCTCCTCCTGGGTCTCCTATTCCCCTTGTTGTACCACTAAAACTATCCAAACTCCTCTGAAGCAGAAGACTTCCTCCACCCAGATCTTCACCCATACTGCATTTAAGACACTGAGCTACAGCTCAATGACAATGGAGAGTGGGATATGAGCCTCTCCCTCAAAATGCCTCCAAGGAAAGCCATCCAGTTTCCTTAACATGCTGAGCAACACCAACCAGAACTCCATGAAACCGTGTCACTACATGCTCTCGTGTTTGATTTAAAGGTGGGTGATAATACATGGCAAGTTCCCTCCTGGCACATGGACCTGTGGCACGTTATCCTTATGCTCTGATTTCCGTGTCCATGGCTTAAGGGTCATGTGCCTCAGATGGAAGGAACATTTTGCTGGATGCATAGACGTGATGAGTTTGCTAATAAAGGCTGCTAATTTTGGCCCAGTATGAAAATACGATTTATTTCCTTTTTGAGGAGAAAATCCTGTTATTTGCTGTGAAAGCCATGGTATGTGAGGGAGCTGTGAACGTAGGAGTTGAAGAGCAGATGAACAGATAAGCACAGGCAAGATGAGGGTTGGCTTTGCTGCTGTAAACAGGTGTTTGCTGACATCCCTGTTGATGAGACTGGGGTCTGGACAGGAGCCTTCTGGCCTGGCATTCAAACCACGTGCACCACAGCTAGCAAGGACATATCACAGACATGAAATTCTATAACCATGGAGTTTTACGATTTTAAAAAAAGTTTTAAATTAGGGTGTAGACAAAACCATGGAGAAAGTAGGAGTGAGTCAGCTGGGTGAATTCCTAGAATTGTAGAATTCCTACAAAAAAATGATGTCCCCTGTCCATGGACTCACCTATTGCACCTATGCAAGACTCACCATCTGTGATATCGATCCGGGGACTTGTGGATACAGCATCCCCATCAGTGCTGTGGGATACATCAGTTCGATCTGAGCTGGGAAGTGCTGCCGTTTGGCATGTCAGGGATGGGTACAAACTTTGGAGCAGTTCAGAGGAACCCAACCTACTGTCACAGGTCTCACATTCACTGGGCTGCATGTCTGGAATCCTGGGACTGGGGTAAGCAGGGGGATTTTGATTTTCTGTCTGCAAAATATGCCCCTGGTCTGCAGCAGCTGAGTATCCGGGTGCCAGGGCATTCAAGCCACTGCTGACAGCTTCATCGTAGGAAGGCAGCATGACAGGAACACCATCCACCACCACAAAGTCGGGGTCGCCCATGGAGCCCTCCTGGTTGCCTCTACGTCAAACACAGAAAGGTTATCGCAGAGAGCAGGAGCATGTCAGCAGCACCTTGGAGCAACTGCTGAACTCCGGTAAGCACAGTACTTTCCAGTCACCCCAAATGAAGCTACAGGGTCATTAACATTCACAAAAATGTTTGCCAAACTATGCTTGGGTTGGCAGGTGGAATCTGTTACAATCGGAAAAAATGAAACCAGTAATGGGAAAAACAGTTCCAAGAAGGGAAGGTAAACAGGTATGTGGAAGAGATAAGGAGCACCATTTGCTGTGCTGTGCACAGTAGGTGTCATGGATATAAGATCACAGATGTAGTTCACCAGGCAAAAGTGTCTGAACCCCTGGCAAAATGTATGCTAGAGCACAAAAGTGTTTACAGCACAAGTAAATGGGTGCTGAGATCACCACTTCTGGTTGACAAGGGTTTGGTGGCAAGACTTGTGGCCTCCTTCAGGTCTTGCTTTCAAAGGATGGAGGCTTCTTTAACCAGTATTAAGCTGATTTCTTTTTTAAGCAAAGCAATTGTATTTATTGGGAAGGTCCATTAAAACCTAAAGTTTCTGCTTAGTAGCCTATTAAACACAGTATAGTCCAGGCAGGAGGTCCTAGGTACCCTTAACACATAAAAATATCTGAAAAGGAGAGGACTAAAAACCATTTTAGTAAGCAAGACAAGTCCAGCCTATAGGCTTTCCTCGTGGAGAACACTGTGTCAATCAATGACAAATGCTCCCATCTCCAGGATATTTTATAGAAATAAAGGAAGATGCGGGAGATGTTTATGAATCATGATGAAAATAACACTAATGAAAGTAAAGCAAATCTTTAATATAAATTTGTCCACAGAGAAAAAATAAAATCTTTCTTAAAACTTACATTACTAAGTAATGTCTACATAGTTTAAAAATTAATCCCCCCAGCACCTGAAAACGAGTACCTAAAAATATTGTCAGCTATTTTTACAGGCAGAGGCAGCAGCTCTCAATAGAAGAGCAGTAATTACTCCCAGAATGAATCTGGCAAACTTTGCTTTTTATCTTAGCTGCGTGAAGGTTTTTGGGGATGCCCTTCCACACTAGTGGTTCAGGGACTTCTCAGAGCAGAACAAAGTATCTGCAAGGCTCATGAGCTGCTCCATTTCTCCAGAAAGGAGTGCTGTATGTGAAAACAGAATCAAGGCCCTCAACCTTCAAAATAAGAAAGAAACCGGTACAAACCGTGGAAGGAAATGTGTCTTAAATTTGGTCTGGAACATCCTGGCTAAAATAACCAGTAGCAGTACTAATAAAACACTGGTAGCAGTAAACGCCACTATTTTCCATGTAGTCAGGAGGGTCTCCTGTGTATTTGGCCACGTTTGTTCTGTAACAGAAAGACAATACAAGAGTTGTGCTTGTATATTCCCGTTGTTATTTTATATTCAGCACTACTCAGAAGTGCACATTTTTTATATGTAACTTGTAAAAACACAAATAAACCCTTTGCCATGTACCAAAAGCAGTCTTAACATAAAGCTGTCACAGAGACTGGATCTTGCTTTTTCCCCTTGACTGGTCTTTTATACATGCAATCGTGACCTTAGCTTGCATACATATAAAATATTCAAATGTTAAAAAATACATTTGAAGAGGTAATGATCAAAATGGTTTAGAACCATTCAGAATTTTGAGAATGCATTATATTTACCCTTTTTGAAAATCTTGCAAAGGAGTTTGAAAATAGCAGCATCTTAAAATCAGTGCTCATCAGTTAACCAAGAAACAGACAAAGTTCACCAGGCATTGCCAACCTACAAATTTGCTCTGAAATGAGGGGCTGTAAGAAGACAGGGCTGTTAGGATAGGATAGTCCTTTACCTGTTTTGACACAGTATACTTGGTAGGAGGGGAACCACTCTCCATACTGGCAAGTGATGTACTTGTAGTCATTGGCGAGGGTGTAACCAGGGTCACAGTAGAACTCCACCACTGTCCCGTGATTGTAGCGTTCGCAAGGCCGTGGGTGGCAGATGTAGTCTCCGTGACTCACCATTGGAGGTAGTGGACAAACTTGGGCAAACAAACAAAGGGAAGAGGAGAAAGGCATTAATGCCGAGTTTACCACTCGGCAGCTTCAGAGTGTCAAAATGCAGCAGATAAACTTTGGGCTCCCTCTCGGCTCCCTGTGGTTCTGGGTATGTCTCAGTGGCACCAGGCCACTGCCCTGGCAGGCCAGGTGGCCATCCACACCAGTGGAGGGATGCACAGGCCAGGGGGTCACTGAAGTGGGATCTAGAAAGCTTCCTACCCGCTGTGGGAAGAGGAGGGTGAGAGGAAGACAAAAGGGGACACATTCTCATCAGGTGACTGCATGGGGATGGAGCAAGGCAGTCAAAATAAGGAGAATCATGCTCTTCACGAAGCATTTATAATTCAGCTGTAACATGCTATTTTTTGTTTCATTAACACAATTAAATGGTTATATGCATTAATTAAATTCCTTTTAAGAATAAGTTTGCCATCAGCAGTGCTGTAAGAAATGCAAAGCATCTAGAGTTGCTTACGCATGTGCAGTCTGTATCATTGTAATTTCATTAAGCTCAGCTTAAAGTCTGCCGGTGGTATCTGTGTTTTGTTATTTCTGAACAGCCCAATTGATCTCAGTGGAACCACTGGTGGTGTGAAGTCTTAAATATAGCAGAGGCTGAGCCTGTGTTAATTAAGTAGACTGGTTTACTTAGGGTTAGGTGAATAAGAGAGAATTGCAAGAGAGAATATAAACATGTGGGACTTTTCCTGTAGGCCCTGGAATCACAGCCCAGACAGATGAACTCCATGGAGAACTGAGGAAGTACTCTGGAAGACAGCAGTGGGGAAAGCAGTTCACAAGCAGTATTTTTACAAGAGAGAAAACTTTTCCATGGCGTAAGTGTTGGTTGATTACTGCTTTCTTAAGTGCTTCTAGCACTGGGCAAAAAATCCTACAAAGTGTAATGATGTTTCAAATGACTGCATACTGACCCAAAAGGGCTTCAGTTACTGGATGACTACTTTTATTTCCCTTCAGAGGCAATTCCTGGCTGGCTCAGTGCCCCATCTACACACCCTTCCCTTCACTTCATGCCTCTCCCATGCAGGCAAGACCTGCTGCATTGATTTAAATAATGAAAATGATATCTCTTGAAGGAAGAATCTTCTCAGAAATTACAATTCAGCTTCTTCTTCCTGTGAAGCTTGTTACATGAATAATGCATTTCATAAAAAAATACACAAGATATTAAATGAATCTTCAAGAGAGGCTGATTACAATGTGCAGCTATGTCTATTACCCATCCTCTAGAGACACAGTTTTGTTTGCATTTTCACTGGCAAGGCCTAATAATAACTTGAAATCAGAGTAAGTAATTCACATAAAAATTCACATCCTCAATGCTCTGCATTGACTTTCCAAAGTCTCTGGGCCCACAAGAAAGATGAATACTTTACCGGGAAGTCAACTCAAGATTGAAAACAATTTTCTTAAGATAAAGGTGAGGTTGTCAGACTGAAATAGCTGGAAAGCACCTATTAATAATTCTTGTACGTAAAAAGAAAATGATCGGTGAAAGCCATGATCCTGGCCTACCATAAAGAAACCAGGTATATTTTGATTACCTATGCTTAAAGCATGAGAACAAAGGAAGAGAACAATTTAAACTCCTCTGCAACTGAATTTTGCCAAGCTCTGGCAGTGTGCAAGAGATGTGTAGATGCCCACAACCTTTCTAGCAATGAGCAAGTAGGGAACACCTGATCACAAAGAGCAATACTCAGAAAAAACTAATTTTCCCCTCCTGCAATGTAGCTGCTGCATCATCCCTAACCTCTTCATGTCATTGAGAGCCAAAGCAGCCTGCTGAATAGAAAAATCCCTCAAAGCTGGCATCCCAGCAATGTGGGTCAGCTCAGGATTGACACATTTCCAGGCAGATTTAAAGCTATGCACTGTGGAAACAACCCAGATATGGAGCTGTCAGTCTGTTTACAAATAGAGGTCTATTTATAATGCCCAAAACGAGTATCACTCTTTGTGTAGGACATGTCCCCAGTACTAAAAAGGGTGCCACACCTTCCAAGGACACATCCATCTTTCAAGGGAAATGCTTGTGTATTGGTGCTGCCTGGAAACTCCTACGAACTATTTTTTATTGTCCTGTCAAGCGTTAGTCATAAATTAGTTGAGGTTTACAGAGTCATACCTGCCAACAGCTCCTGCATGAAACACTGGGAACCAACAGATGCAATGCAACAGGTTTGAAACTGAGGGCTTTTGGCTCAGCTGAAAAAAGTGCTTCATTCTTATGTCAGCTGGACGGCAGGAGTCATGGATTCTAACTCACCTGGAGTGTCACTCACCACTTCCGATGAACTTTATGTTCAACCAGTTTCAGGATCCCTTTAACACTTCCATGGGCAAACTGGCCCCCATGTACAGTCTGTAGCACTCAGGTTCAAAGCTTCTGTTCACAAATCAAGTCAAAGGTATGTTGTGGTAATCACATACCCTCTGAACAGAGAGAGACATATCTCTCCCAGGATTTTCCTGGGAAGCTGTGAGAAAGCTCACAGAAAGTATTAAAACAATTATTATCTCAATCCCTGTACCTGGCAGGCAATCACTGTTTGTCAAAGATGTTTACAAGAAAGAGTTGTCCCTTCTTGACCAGTAGGTGAGAGAAGATTCCTAAAGGCCAATCAGGTCTTAGGTCCACCATTGTTTCCATAAGAACTGTGAATTTCTAATAATAAAGTGCTTTTCATACCTTCTGATGATAAAGTCTCTGTATCCCTTGTGTATGGTCCCGATACCCCTTTGGTGATAGTACATCACAAACAACCTTCAATAAACTCACTTTGAGCTCTGGGTAGTTAGTCGTACACTCAGTCCTTTTCTCCACTCACTTCATTCCCATGGTCATCCTGATCCAAGATCCTTTAAAGCCAGTGGAAAGACAGCCAGCAAGTAGCCTTGGTTTTGATCATAGAAAAGAAATATTAAGAAAGGCTAGAGGGCTGCTGAACTCTCTTGGCTGTCTTGGACAGAAAATTTTTAGTGCAGAGCCGGTTATGTTACAGGGTCTGAACACTTATTTATGCCAGATGCCAGTGAATGATAGTGGTTACATGGATTAAAGGAATGTGTCAGATAAAATATGGAGGGAAACTCGGGTGACAAACTCAGGGCCACTGAAGTTTTTTAGGAAAGTTAAAATTCTAGCATTCCCAGTGATGAGCCCTAATTGTGTTTGGAAATTACAGGCCATGGACTTCAGGCAACTGCATCAAACTCACAGAATTAAAATGGCCATAAACTGATTACAATAAAAGCATATCTGACAAGTACATTTTCACTGCCAAAGCCAACAGTAGTATGCACAATAATCATAGAAACAAGGGAATTCTCCCTCAGAAAGTTCTCACAGATCAAAAAAGCCCTAAGTGCTGCTCTTAAGTATGATACTAACTCTTTACTACCAGTAACTTTCAGCATCTTCATTTTATAAGGCTTTGGAGACTTTAATGCTCTAATTACAGCATCCAGCATGGATAATCTAGTACTATTATCTGGCGACCAGCATTAAAAGACCACATGCCTGTGTCCTTAACTTTGGAGCTTGGCAGAGCAACAGACGTAATTTAAACAGTGTCTGCTGGTGGTCATGCAGCAGGTGATCCCGAGTCTCTGGATCTGTCTTTGTACAGCAGTTGGCCACACACTTTAAGGGGATTTACAGGAACTTTATAGCTCAGCATTCACAGCTGAAAAGTTGAATCATTCATCAAAAAGAAAGAACAATTATATTTATATGGTAAATAAATCCCTTGCTGGATGCTCAAGAGTCCTGTTACACAAGGAAGTTGAAGGGAAGAATTCCTGATTTGATTTGTTGGAGTTCCCTGTCTGTTCCTAAGAGCAGCTGGAGCTGAGAGCTCTCCTCTAAGATCAACTTTCTGCTCCGGCTGATTTTAATGAAGAACTAGCACTACCAAGAAAACCTTAAAACCTGGGGAGCTGAGTCTTGTGTTACCAGCAGTGTGGCACTGTGGCCTGGAGCAAAGGCAAGGGCTGGTCTGCCCCACAGTATCCTCTCCATCACAGCCTCCACCGAGCCACATCTCTTGGAGCAGGGCCGAGGAGGATGGCACAGGCTCCATTCTTTATTAATGGAAGAGTTAATGAGGTTCACCCAGTGACATTTTCCTACCCATTATGGTCAAGAAGCTTTTTAAACTCTGCCCGGAGGACGCTGCAGTAATTCTGCAGTGTTGACACTGAAACTGGAGGACGCAGGAAAGACTTTTTTGCATTAGCACATTCTCAGTTAACATCAATGGCACAGAACAAAGACATTGCACGACTTTTTAAAAGCCACTGGTAGAGAGATAACAGTGGAGTTACAGATATTTACACTGCTCAAAACCTGTTTTTTAGTCAATGTTCAAAGGCTAGTGGTTTCAGTCTGTGGTCCAAGTAGACAGGTGCTAATCACTCAGGTTTTGCCCAGCATTTTTTATATGAGCCAAAAATTAAAAACAAAAATGTCTTGAAGTACAGGACACTTATTAAAAAAAGAAGGGGCAGGAACAAGCAAGCTTATTTTCCACCCATGATAATTTGTCTCAAGCGACTAGTTCACCTTTTATGTAGGACATTAATTTCTTGGTTAGCTGGGTTAGCAGAAAGCCCCAGTGAAAGGCCAGCCATTTCTGTTTGACACAGAGATGGAGAGGATTAGACACATTTGCACCTTGTAAAGAATAACACTTATTCCAAACACATTGTGAATGCCTGCTCATTATGCAAAGAATGAGAACAGATTAAGATGAAACTTCCAGATGAGAAAGACACAAATAAAAGCCTGCCAGTTCCACTGTGTAGGAAAATGCTGGTGTATCTCACTCAGAGAATCATCTGGGAGGGGGAGACACTCTCTGCTTTGCTCACAAACTGCAAGAGAACAAGAATTTCTCCTGAACCTCACTTGACATTTTTGTACACATCAGGACACTAATTATCACCAGGAATCTGGACACCTGTCACCTGGCTACAGCACCCCAACCAATGTTTAATTCAAGCAGTCACTCCATGAGAGCACAGCTGTGTATGCCCCAGCAGGTCTGACCTTTCCCATTGAGGATGGCCAGGTCCCCACCTGAAACTTACTGTCTGCTTCTGGGGCCTAAGGAGGGATCCTGTTCCATATATTGCCTTCATACAAACACACGCTTAGGAATGTGAGATCTGAAAACTGTATTTTTTACAGGAACATAGATGATGAAGATTATGTTTGTTCCTTTTCCTGCTTCTTTATGAACACTGTGCTAATAAACTTGGTTTCTTGGTTCCCTCAGTGTCATCACCCTTCATACCTCCAGAATAAAACAAATCATCAACTACGAAGTTTTTCTTTCATATTCAGAAGGATTCCTGTCCAGTTCATCTGACAAACCTGTCCATTTCCACAGGTATTACTAGCAAATGAATCACACCTGCACTGCAAAGTACAGAGCCTGAGGAAATTAATTCTACACTTTGAGTACTAAAAAAGGGATTTTACTATTCTGTACTTAGATTTCAATTTACAGAAATATACAAAACAATGTATTTTAATTCTAAAATAGCAAACCAAAAATTTCCATTAAAATGCCCAGTATTCTAATTAAGATGCTAGAAAAAACTACTGGACTTAACCACTTATATCCAATCAAAAGCTAGAAGAAATTTAGAGGCTTGTAAAAGGAAGGAAATAGCTAATGCAGTTGCTTTAAAATAAGCCCTGTGAAAACATATCCTTCTAAGATCAGCTGCTTAATGAGACTTTTAAAAAATTACACTATTCAGGAATATAAGCAGAACAGAAAGCATTACTGGTTTACATTTTCATGGTTGTGAACATCAACTTAAAAATATCCTAATGAAGCATTCCTACAACAAATTCTGCTGGCTTTGTGAAGGGAGACTTCCAGGTGTACTGGAACAAACTTGGAGGCCATTGAATTTGTGTTCTGAAAGTGATGCCATGCTTTCAAAAACATTTCTGATTACTTGTTCCCACAGCAAAAAAAAAACCCAACACCAAGAGTATAACAGAATAGAAAGTTTGGTGGAAACAACTGAGCACTCATATATAAAGTAAAACCTATTTAAGCCTGACTGAAGATGTAAAGTAATGAAGATGAAGATGTTAACTTTGAACACTCAGGTTGCCAGAGAATTTATTTATTGAAAGCCTAGAGCAAGAATTATTAATAATATTGTATTC